ATGACCTGAGTCGAAGGCAGTCGCTCAACCGACTGAGCCACCCAGGCACCCCAATACTAAAAACATTTTAGGTGGTAATTTGAACACAAATTGATATGTGGTACAAGAGGAAAAAGCAAACATATTATGTGATAATAATAATGGATGTATATAAAACCCAGTATCTTTCATTTTACTGTTAGAAAACCTTGCTTTATCAAACATGATAAAACAGTTGAGCCAAAAAGAAATGCATCCTTATTTCCAATGTGTTAGCACTGGAAGTGAATAAGGGAATTAGGAGTGAGCCTCCACTGCGGATCTAGCAGCTCTAGGTGAGATGAACCAGTAAGGAGCAGAGAGACTTGCTCACCACAACCAAAGTGATGGGAAAATACTGTAAGGGGAGTGAGCCTGATCATTGCTGGCACTACTACAATGTATTTTTTATTTGGATGCCACTTTTTTTTTTTTGTATAGTTGACACAAAACGTTACATTAGTTTCAAGAATACAACACGATGATTCAGCAACTCTGTATGTTATGCTGTGCTTACCTCAAGTGTAGGTACCATCTGTCACTGTGCAACACTATTACAATACCATCCACTAACATATAATGTATTATTTGTTTCAGAGGTACAGGTCTTGCACAATTCACAGCGCTCACCACAGTACATACCCTCCCCAATGTCTATCACCAGCCACCCCATCCCTCCCACCTCCCACCACTCCAGCAACCCTCAGTTTGTTTCCTGAGATTAAGAATTCCTCATATCAATGAGGTCATATGATACATGTCTTTCTCTGATTGACTTATTTTGCTCAGCAAAAAAAAAAAAGAAGAAGATAGCAGGAGGGGAAGAATGAAGGAGGGGAAATCGGAGGGGGAGATGAACCATTAGAGACGATGGACTCTGAAAAACAAACTGAGGGTTCTAGAGGGGAGGAGGGTGGGAGGATGGGTTAGCCCGGTGATGGGTATTAAAGAGGGCACGTTCTACATGGAGCACTGCATACGCAAACAATGAATCATGGAACACTACATCAAAAACTAATGATGTAATGTATGGTGATCAACATAACATAATAATAATAAAAAAAAACAATACCATTGACTATATTCCCTATGCCATGCCTTTTATTCCTGTGACTTATTCTTTCCATAACTGGAAGCTTGTATCTCCCACTCCTCTTTAACCATTTTGCCCACTCCCATGCCCTCCCACTCTGGCAACCATCAGTTCTCTGTATTTGTGGGTCTGTTTCTGCTTTTTGTTTGTTTATTCTTTTGTTTTGTTTTTTGGATTCCACATATAAGTGAAATCATGCGATATTTGTCTTTCTCTGAATGACTACCACTGACCAACTTTAGTAGCTTGTTCAAGGGAAAGCCAAATACAACTCTGAAACAAGTTTGGCTACTTATATTTGGCTTTTCCTTGAGCAAGTTACTAAAGTTGGTCAGTGGTAGTCAAGCCATATTATAACAGGAGATATTTATCCATCATATCCATCATAATTAAGGATGGAAAATTACAGGTAAGGGAGTAGAGACCACTAGTTGATGATACTATTTCTTTCTTGTCTACGGACCTCTTAATAAATAGGCTTCATCTTTAAAAGCCTGTGGGTTTTGAATGTTTAATCTGATCACTCACAAGGGCTGATTAAGTATTGCCTTTATTCCCATAGCTAAACTCCGAGGTCATCTTAAACAATATAAAACAGATAAAAGTGGAGCAGCTCTGGTTGAAGGAGTGCCCCTTCCCATATAGATTTCCCCTCAGATCCCAATCTCATGCCATGTGTTCCCTAACAGACCTACCAAGAACTTTAGGGTCCTATGGGATAAAGTTTGAAAATCACTGATTTAAACAGTGGAGTAGAAGAGCAGTCTGCACTAGCTCAAGAGTTCCCATGCCAATGGGAAAATTCTAAATTCTTTAGTGACTGTGGTGGAATGGACACTGAATTAAGTATCAAAAACCATGTGATTTATATTCAGTACAGGCACCTATTTAAAAGGTGACTCCAGGAAGATATTTAACTTAACTGATCTTGTTTTTATTCATCTGCAATATATGAATATAACCTGCTCTCTGAAAGACTGATTCTAAAAATAAAGGGCATAGTAAATGTGGAAGAAGCCCAGAAAATACATGGTGTAACTATAAGGTATTATTACTGCTGAGGACAGAATCTATTTGGAGAAAGGAAGAAAGAGCTACATAATGGGTATCAGATAGCAAAAACTGTAACTAAACCTACAAGGGACTACGATTTCTTCCAGGAAAAAAACTAGACATGAGCTTTCTATAAATTACTTTCCCCTGCTGTAGAATAAGATCCCATAATCATACTCTTCTTTTGACTTTTATCTCACTACACAGAATCATGTGATTTTTAATGAATGTCAGAAGTTGCATTTTGATTCAAACTAGTATTATCCCTCCATTTAAATTTCTGAATTTAAAAATTCAGAATAAAAAACTGAATTTCTGAATTCAGTTCTAATGAGAGTGGATTGACAGTTCTTTAAAATGATGTCTAAAACATCTGAAACACAGTCCCTGGACAAGTTTCCAAAATTACACCAATGTAGACTCTGGCCTCTACTAGCACTATTCTTCTTTCTATATTCAGTGGATATTTTAAATTCATCATAAAGAAAGAGATCTTATCAGTAGGATATATACATCTTTCAGATTGTTTTTCAATAGTGATGATAAAATTTCACTGCTTTATCTACACATTCCTTTTACCCACAGCATAATACATTCTTTAGCTTGGCATATAAAAGCTTCCATAATCAGAAACTACCTGGTTGCCAAAGGCAGGGGGTAGGAGGGTGGGTGAAAGGTAAAGGTGTTCAAAGGTACAAATTTCCAGTTATAAGACAAATAAAGCCTAGGGATATAACTTATAGCATGGTTACTACAGTTAATAATACTATATCGTATATATGAAAGTTGCTGAGAGTAGATTTTAAAAATTCTCATAAGAAAAATACGTATAACTATGTGAGATGATGGATATTAAGTACATTTATTGTGATAATCATTTTGTAATATATACAAAAATCCAATCATTATGTTGTACACCTGAAACAAATACAATGTTATATATCAATTACATCTCAATTAAAATTTGTTTAAATAAAAAAAAAGAGCAGCTCAGATGGAAAAATAGGGAAACAGTGTTACTTAAATGTAAATTTTTTTTTTTTTTTTAACATCACCAAAGCAATTCATGTAATGTTTTAATGCTATATTAGTGAAGGACAGGAAAAACAGAAGAAAAACAAACCTGCATATATATGTGGAGGACAAATTAGTTAGAGAGGAAGTTCATTTTAGTAGCAATATCAAGTAAAAAGTTGGTGGTTATATGCCATTTTACATCCTCCATTATTGTCTCTCTATTACTATTTCATTAGTCTTTTTTTTTCTTTAAAAAACACACTGTAATAAGGGCATCCACATGATTCCATGGATACATAATTGAAATCACTAATGGTGGCAGCTGCTGAAAATACATCCAAAAGACAGGTTGCAAAATACACTGAGATATGTGTATTGAAACTATGGTAGTATAATTAAGACATAATCTTCAAAAGGCCCTAGTATGAAGAAAATGGGATTGAGTCCTTTTGCATTTCATTTCTACTAAATGAATAAAATATGAAAAAAAGGACAAAATAAAAACACATTATATATTCTTATAAATAATGTTTCAAAATTCCATTTTTTATAGAGTGAGAAATTACAAAATGATAGGCATTTGGAGATCTGTTCTAGTTCGGAAGAGAACCATTGTGACTGCAACTAAGAATCAAGATCAAAGCCAGGGTGACAAATAAATGGTAGGAATTGATCAATACTTTCTGTGCATCCATTGTCATGGAATTGCCACTATCACTATTCCACACCCAAACCTCTGGCTAAGATGCAGGGCTGAGGGGTTCCCTCAGAACTCCCAGGTAATTTTCCTACTGAGAAAGCTCTCCCCCATACTATAGACTCTCACAGGGATCATCTGTGACCAAAAAAGGTTTCTTTTTCTCATTTAAGGTACTAGTTCATCTCCTAAGAACTATCTTGGCAGTTTATATAAACTGCCACCAATTGTGCAGATTCACCATTGCCTTATGATAGGTCAATGAAATCCACATCTATCCAAATTAGTCTTTAAAAAAAAAAAAAGGGAAAGAAAGAAAAGAAACTACTTTTGCAGACTGAATATTTACAGCCCCACCCACCCAAATTGATATACTGAGGCCTAACCCTCCAATGTGGCTATATTTAGAAATGAGGCTTATAAGGAATTAAGGTTAAATGAAGTAATAGGGTGGGGCCCTGCCCTAATGTGCTAAAATTAGTGTCCTTGGGGCGCCTGGGTGCCTCAGTCCTTAGGCATCTGCCTTCGGGTCAGGTCATGGTCCCAGGGTCCTGGGATCAAGCCCCGCATCGGGCTCCCTGCTCAGCGGGAAGCCTGCTTCTCCCTCTCCCTCTGCCTGCCACTCTGCCTACTTGCGCTCTCTCTCAGTCAAATAAATAAATAAAATCTTTAAAAAAATTAAAAATAAAATAAAATTAGGGTCCTTATAGAAGATACACCAGAGAGTTCTCTCTCTCCCTTCTTTTCATCTCCCCATGCCCCCATGCACTAAGGAAAGGCCATTAAGCACATACAAAGAACCAGCTGTCTGCAACCCTAGGTAAGAGCTCTCACAAGACACAAACCTTGCTAGCGCTCTGATCTTGCCAAATTGTGAGAAAATAAATTTCTGTTGTTTAAGCCACCCAGTAGTGGTATTTTGTTATAGCAGTCTGAGAAGACTAACACATTATCTCTATTACTAAATGCTTTGTACTATCTCTCATTTTTGGAAGATGTACTTTGATGAATTCCACAACATGAGAAACATTTCACTGAACACATGGGGAAATCAGATTCATAAAGAGTGCTTTATATGAAGTATTATTTGCAGTCAAGCTGCCCTGTAAGAATTATGCTTACCCTTGAAGAGTAATGTACTCTTGGGAGCTTTCAGCCCAACAGCCACTCAGCATTGCAGCAAAATAACTAGATCTGGCACTTAAAATGGCTCTAAAGGGAAGGGGAGGGAAAAAACACAGGTAAACATTTATGTACTATGCAAAATATAATTTTTTATTAAATTCTTCACCTTAACTCTTAAAACATAATAATCTGTCTTGTTTGTATTTACTGGTAGGATTATAATAATAATAAAAATTATAAACCTATATTTATACCTAAATATTTTTTTTGTTTTGTTTTTTAGAGATAGAGAGCACATGCATATGTGGGATGGGAGGTGGAGGGAGAGGAGGAGGAGGAAGAAAGAGAATTTTGTGGGGTTTTTTTTTTAGATTTTATTTATTTGACAGAGAGAGACATAGCAAGAGAAGGAACACAAGCAGGGGGAGTGGGAGAGGGAGAAGGAGGCTCCCTGCTGAGCAGAGAGCCCGATGCGGGGCTCGATCCCAGGAGCCTGGGATCATGACCTGAGCCAAAGGCAGACTCCCAATGACTGAACCACCCAGGCACCCCAAGAAAGAGAATCTTAAGCAGGTTCCACACCCAGCAGGTAGCCTGACATGGGTCTTGATCTCACAACCCTGAGATCATGACGTGAGCTGAAATCAAGAGTTGGACACTTAACCAACTGAGCCACCCAGGCACCCCAATATACCTAAATATTTTGATTACTTAATTAGAACATTAATTCCAATGTCCTTATCTTTTTTATTTTTCCCCTTAAAGCTCTTTAACTTTAATAACAATTGAAACTATTTTCATGAGTAAGAGAGTAATAAATCATTTGCAAGGGAGTAGTAATAAGAAAGGCACTAGGACCATAAAGGTCCTGAGTTCAAGTTCAGAACTTACCCAATTGTGCTACAGAACAGCTCTTAGATGTGAGAAATGATAAGAAAGATATTTTCTTTTGAATTTCCATTCTATCTTTTCACATAAAATGTCCATTCATTCTTTAATTCAACAAATATCTATTGACTTCTATTTTGTGCTAGGCACTATTCTAAGTAGCACTAAATGAGATACACAGAACAACATTATATTCTAGTGGAGAATGGTATGGAAGAATGGAGAGGGACAAGGAGAAGAAAAATATGCTTCTGGCAATGGCTTACTAGGTTGTCTCAGACCAACACTCCTGAAAATAGCTAGGGAAAAAAGGGAGATACATACAGACATACACATAAATATATAGAGATTTTTTTAAGAAAGCAAGAATGATTTGAAGGTATCAGAAAGGTACCATCCTGGTAGATTTTGAGACAAATTATAAGACAGAAGACAAAAAAGCGGACCCAAGTATTTTAGGTAACTTTTTCCATTGAAGCAATTGCCAATATCTCTGATGAACGTAGATGCAAAAAACCTTCCTTAACAAAATATTAGCAAACCAGATTCAACAATACATTAAAAAAAAAATCATTCATCATGATCAAGTGGGATTTATTACTGAGATGCAAATGGAAGGGTGGTTCAGTAACTGCAAATCAATCAAAGAGATATATCACATCAACAGAAGAAAGGATAAAAACCATATAATCATTTCAATAGATGCAAAAAAAGCATTTGACAAAGTAAAACATCCATTCATGATAAAAACCCTCAAGAGAGTAGGTTTAGAAGGAACATACCTCAACATAAGGGCCATATATAAAAAACACACAGCCTTCATCATACTCAATGGTGAAAAACTGAGAGCTTTCCCCTAAGGTCAGGAACAAGACAAGGATTCCACTCTCACCACTTTTATTCAACATAGTACTAGAAGTCCTAGCCACAGCAATCAGACAAGAAAAAGAAATAAAAGCCATCTGTATTAATGAGGAATAAGTAAAACTGTCACTATTTGCAGATGACGTACTATATATAGCAAACCCTAAAGACTCTGCCAAAAACCTACTAGAACTGATAAATGAATTCAGTAAGGTCACAGGACATATAATCAATATACAGAAATTCAATGCATTTCTATACATAATGAAGTATCAGAAAGAGAAATAAAACAATCCCATTTATAATTGTAGCAAAAATAAGATACCTAAAAATAAACCTAACCAAAGAGGTTAAAGACCTGTACTCTGAAAACTATAAAACACTGATAACAGAAAATGAAGACAATGGAAACAAATGGAAAGATTCTCCATGCTCATGGGTTGGAAGGACAAATATTCTTAAAATGTCTATACTACCCAAAGCAATCTACAGATTTAATGCAATCCCTATCAAAATACCAACAGCATTTTTCACTAAATTCAAGCAAATAATCTTAAATGTGTATGGAACCACAAAAGACCCCAAATAGACAAAGCAATTCTGAAAAAGAACAAAACTGGAGATATCATAATCCCAGATTTCAAGATATACTATAAAGCTGCAGTAATCAAAACAGTATGGTACTGTCAAAAAATAGACAAATAGATCAATGTAACAGAATAGAGAACCTAGAGATAAACCCATGATTAATCCGGACAAGGATTAATTTTCAAAAAGAGAGTCTCTTCAACAAATGGTGTTGGGGAAATGGGACAGCTACAAGCAAAAGAATGAAACTGGACCACTTTCTTACACCATACACAAAAATAAACTCAAAATGTATTAAGGACCCTCCCCAATGTCTATCACCCAGCCACCCCAAATACATTATATGTTAAAAAAAAAAAAAAAAAAAAGAAGATAGTAGGAAGGGAAAAATGAAGGGGGGGAATCGGAGGGGGAGATGAACCATGAGAGACTATGGACTCTGAGAAACAAACTGAGGGTTCTAGAGGGGAGGGGGGTGGGGGGATGGGTTAGCCCAGTGATGGGTATTAAGGAGGGCACATATTGCATGGAGCACTGGGTGTTACATGCAAACAATGAATCATGGAACACTACATCAAAAACTAATGATGTAATGTATGGTGATTAACATAACATAATAAAATAAAATTTAAAAAATTAAAATAAAAAAAATGGATTAAGGACCTAAATGTGAGACCTGAAACCATAAAAATCCTAGAAGAGAGCACAGGCAGTTAATTATTCTGACATTGGACATAGCTACATTTTTCTATATATGTTTCCTAAGGCAAGAGAAACAAAAGCAAAAATAAACTATTGGGACTACATCAAGATAAAATTCTTGTGCACAGCAAAGGAAACAATCAAAAAAACTAAAAGACAACCTATGGAATGGGAGACGATATTTGCAAATGACATATCCAACAAACAGTATTCAAAATATGTAAAGAACTTACACAATTCAACACCAAAAAAGCAAACAATCCAAGTTAAAAATGAACAGAAGACATGAACAGACATTTCTACAAAGAAGACATATAGATGGCCAACAGATACATGAAAAGATGCTCAACAGCACTCATTAGCAGGGAAATACAAATCAAAACCACCATGATATATCACCTCACACTTGTCAGAATGGCTAAAATAAAAAACATGAGAAACAACAAGTGTCAGCAAGGATATGCAGAAAAAGAACCTCATGCACTGTTGATGGGAATACAAGCTTGTACAGCCATTGTGGAAAATAATATGGAGGTTGCTCAAAAGTTAAAAATAGGACTACCTTACAATCCAGCAATTACTCTAGTAGGTATTTACCCAGAAATACAGAAATACTAATTCAAAGGGATACAGGCACCCCAATGTTTACAGCAGTATTATCTAAAATAGCCAAATTATGGAAGCAGCCCAAGTTTTCACTGATAGATGATGAATGGATAAAGAAGCGATATATTTATAATATATATAAAAGGAATGACATCTTACCATTTGCAACTACATGGATGGAGTGAGACACCGTAACAGTAAGTGAAACAAGCCAGTTGGAGAAAGACAAATACTGTATGATTCCACTCATATGTGGAATTTAAGAAACAAAACAAAGGAAAAAAAAAAGACACAAACCAAAAAGCAGACTCTTAACTATAGAGAACAAACAGATGGCTACCAGAGGGCAGGAAGGGAGGAGGATGGGTGAAGTAGGTGAGGGGGATTAAGAGTACACTTACCATGATGAGCACTGAGTAATATACAGAATTGTTGAATCACTATATTGTACACCTGAAATTAATATAACACTGTATGATAACTACAGTGAAAATAAAATTTTTAATTTTTAAAAACCAAAAAAAACTCATCAAATTGGATTTTGATTATATGTGAATTCTAAACATAATAAACTGCAAAAAAAAAGAATAAAAATAAAACCTACTTAACAAAGAAAATTACAGGCCAAGATGACTTCTCCAGTAAAGTCAAACATTTAAGGAAGATATAAAATCAATCTTCCTCAAATAAATTTTTATTAAAAATCAAATATAAATAAAATAGAAAAAAAAACCAAGAAGAAATACTTTCCAACTCATTTTATGAAGTCAACATAATCTTGAGACCTAAACTTAACAAGGATACTACAAAAAAAAAGGAAAATTATGGGTCGACTTCTCTCAGAAACATAGATGCAAATATATTCAACAAAATATTAGCAAACTGAACCCAGCAATAAATACATTGAATAAAATATCATAATCAAGTTGAAATTATTATAGGAATGCAAGATTGCTTTAACATTTCAAAATCAAGCAATATAATTTAGCACATTAACAAAATAAAGGAGAAAAATTGTGATCACTGAAACAGATGCAGAAAAGCATTTGACAAAATTCAACACCAATTTATGATTTTAAAAATTTAGGCAATTCCAATCAAAATTTCAGAAAGTTATTTTGTAGATATTGACAAAGTGATTCTAAAATTTATATGGAGGGGCGCCTGGGTGGCTCAGTTAGTTAAGCGTCTGTCTTCGGCTCAGGTCATGAACCCAGGGTCCTGGGATGGAGCCCCATGTGGGGCTCCCTGCTCAGTGGAGAGCCTGCTTCTCCCACTCCCTCTGCCCCTCCCCCTACTTTGTGCACACGTGTACTCTCTCTCTCTCTCTCACTCATTCTCGCTCTATCTCAAATAAAGTCTTTAAAAAAATAAAATAAATAAAATTTATATGTAAAGGCAAGAACCAAAAATAGCCAATACAAAACTGGAAAGAAGAA